TGGTTTTTGGTAGCGCATTGCGTCGTAGCGTTTCCTCAATTTTCGTTTGCTTTTTGCCAGTGTCATTTTAACGTTGTCAACCAAGAGTGCACTTCTATGCCCACATTTGAATATACTACCTCAACATCGTGTCTTGCTAATACCAACACACCCAGTTCAATTTGCGCACTTTCCATTATCCCGCTGATAACATCAGGTCACGTGTTTAATTCGACGTTGTAGACTTATATAGACAATATACCGAAACTATTTATCCACACGCAGGCATGTGAAAGCTAGAGTAAGTTATTGCAGGCTGAGGCGATCCCACGTGTGTCCATTTGCCCAATCCACTCATCTCTACATCAATCATACATCTATTCAAGCTACCGTTAAAAACCCACCATTCTCTTATCATTTCACAGTAATAAAGTTTTGTTTTTTTAAAATATTTTTTATTATTATTAGGTTGTTTTTATAGCGCAATATCCCAGCCCTATGCTCTTCACATAAAAAATAAGGAAATACAGAAAAGTATACATAAAAAAAAACAATCGGTGAAAAGCTTGACCTCAACTACCCATGTAATATCTATCCCTGTCAAGCGATACATTCTAAAATAGAAATAAAATTCGTTACCCTGGCCGATGAAACCCTGTCCACATCACCCAAGTTCTTGTAGATTTCTACCATGGTTGTGGCGGGCAGTTGGCTCCATTGTGAAGGTTCAGGGGCCTCCTTGTTCAAGTGATGAACTTTCGTCGAGACGCATTTTCTTTTACCTTTATCCTTTTTATTCATTTTTAAAGGGCTCCTTTGCTGACACAAACAATTATTCTAACAAATATAATAGCAAGTAATTTTAAATTAACTTTTAAAAGATTTTTTTAAATATTAGAACAAAATGTGCATTTGGTTTTTAATAAAGTTCAATGTTGTGGCAATATTTTAAGAGCGACAGTGCTAACAAGTGATTTAAGGTAACTCTTTTTGGAAATTCCCAAACTAAATGCGAAATGAGTAAGAACGAAGTTTTAGAATAATATTAATAGCTAGATGTAGCCCGTCAAACGTTGGCAAAAGCAAAGCTTCCCATATACTAGACAACAGAGGAACTCAATTAACGCACATTTAAGAATACCACTTTTTGCTATCCCCCCCCCCCCCATGATACGCCACTGCACACTTTAAATATTACCCTATGAACTATACTTATAAAGCTGAGCTATTGTGACATAACGCCACAGATTGGCAAAAGCAAAGCATCCCAAATACTAGACAACAGAGGAACCCAATTAACGCCCATTTAAGAATACCCCTTTTTGCTATCCCCCCCCCCCCCCATGATACGCCACTGCACACTTTAAATATTACCCTATGAACTATACTTATAAAGCTGAGCTATTGTGACATAACGCCACAGAGCCAATACGATACAGGTACGATCGGATTCCTAAAAACAATCATAGTTATTTTCTATTATTTTACGGAAATCGAATAAATTTAAATGTGCAAAAAATAACCTAAGTCCGTTTTATTTAATCAAATGTTTAAGTATTATTATTATAAATTAAAAATACGTTTAAAGTAACAGCTAAGGAACTATGACTACTAACAAAATTAAAAGTTATGAAAAACAAATTAATAAGAAAATTATGATCTTAGAATTACATCGTAACAGCATTTATCAGGAAAACCCAAAAACCAGTTGTTCTTAGAGCTTTTTTTAGTGCGTTGTTAATATTGCGAATTAAAATTAAAATTAATTTCTTCTTAATAAACACTTATATGACGTAATAGTGCAAATGGCCAATGTTAGCCAAAACTCTTTAAGTTTCTTTTATTTAATAACAGTGCGTTAAAAAAACAACGTATTTACACCTTCTTAAAAGTAAAATTTATAAATTTAAATGATTGCTCTTTACATTTGTAATAAAACTCACACACATTCTAGCTTTGCATTTTTAACATTTAATAAGATTTATTTTTTAATTCGAAAAATATAGTTTTATTAAATTGAAAACGTGGTAAAAACTTAAACTTTAAATAAACTTCTATTAAGAAAATGACTATAAGGCAATCAGTGCAGCAAAGTGTCACAGTGACATGGAATCCACACATTCAAAGTTGCACAAAGACATGGAGGCCCCAAGATCAACTTGCAACATTGACATGGAAGCCACAAGATCAAAGTATCAAAATGTCATGAAAGCAACAAGATAAAAAAAAACATAATGACATGGAAGCAACAAGATGAAAGTGCAGCAACGCCATGAATACTAAATGATCAAAGTGTCACAATGATATGGAAGCAGCAAGATCAAAGAACCACAATGACATGGAAGCCACAAGATAAAAGTGGAACAGTGACATAAACGCCACAAGATCAAAGTCCCACAATGTCATAGCAGCCACAAGTTCAAAGTACAAAAATTTCTATGAAGCAACAGAATCCAAGTGCCACAATGACACGGAAGCCTCGAGATCAAATGCTACAATGGTATGGAAATAACTTGTGTAGGAGCCAGAATGATCAATAAATTTTTGCTGGTCCCTAATATGTAGAAGAAGAAAAAGTTCGAAACGCCTCAATGCCATGGAAGCCACAAGATCAAAGTTCAACTATAAAGGAGCACAATAGCATCGTGCCAATATAATGAAGTGCCAGAAAAACAACGTGTCACAATGACATGGAATTCAATCAGAAAGATGGTCACATGAACAAAGTGTCATAATGACACGAAAACTAGCAGAACAAAGTTTCACTTGACTAAAGTGTCTCAATGACATAGAAGCCACAAAAACGAAGTACCACAATAACAAAATGTCACAAGATCAAAGTGCCAGAACAAGGGTCCCAAAAGTTCAAGGTTTCGTAAGATAAAAATGTCACGAGAACATGGTTGCCACCAGAAAAGAAGCGTCACAAGAAAAGAGTGTCACAAGAAAATGGTTGCAACCCGAACAGTGTGTCGCAAAACAAAGCTTCACAAGAAAAATTCCGATAGAACTAAATGGCACAAGAATAAATATTTTCCCAGATCATAGTGCCACATGAACATCGGTGTCAGCAGAACAAAGTGCAATATAATAATAATATGTCACCAGAAAAAAGTGTTAACAAAGTGACACAAGGAAATATGTGGTACAGAACACAGTGTCTCTAGAAAAATCTTAAAAAAATAAAACGGGAACATAATGTCCCAAGAACACGAGTCCCTTCAGAAAAAAATGTCAGAAAACCATATGTGCATTAAGGAAATGGGTGCCACACAAATATGGCTGCCTCAAGAACATTGGTTCCATAAAAATCTGGTGCTGTAAGAATATCGGTGATACAAAAATATGGATACCATAAGATTTGGGCTCCGCCAGAATAAAGTGTCTCATGATCATTGGTGTCACAAGAATAAAAATGCCCACAAGAACTTTATGCTGGATAAATGTTAATTCGACACGGACCTGGTAGAACAAAAACATGAGTGAAATGGTCCAAGAGCATCTGTGCACTTAGAAGATGATTGCCAATAGAATAAAGCACCAAAGAAAAGAGGTGCAACAGGAACATGGGTGACACAAGAACAAATTTCAACCAGAACATGAGTGCCACAACAACGTGATTTCCAGCAGACCAAGTAGCACAAGAACAGATCTTATACAAGAATAAAGTGCCCCCAGTGCAAAGTTTCACAATCAAATACGTTCCAACGGAGTACGTGTGATACCAGAATAAGATTGCCACGTTAATAAAGTACCAACAGAAAATCGGTGCTACCAGAAAAAAGTGCCAAGAGAACAGAGGTTCCACTGGAACATGGGTGCCACAAGAGCATGGTTGCCAATATAATTGAGTTGCCACCTCCTTACGCAGGCCAATGTGTTTAGTTTCTAACACATGGATTAAAGTCATACAACTGTCTCTTCAACGTGGCTTAGCTTCAACGTGAGTAATAAAGGCTTGAAGGCGAATGTAAACCAGAAAATAACATAGATTTGTATCCCATCTGAAAATAGTAAGTGGAGGTGGTGACAATAACCTGGTAGTCTCAGTGTTAGCAATCAGTATCTGACGATTGTTTAAGATAAAACGCTCTTCGGCTAACATCGAGAGATTAAAGGTCAATATGAGGAGAACGACCGGTAATGTAAAAATATCATTTTCAAGAGATAACAATCATCTTTTAGGTTATCAGTCGAAATTACGGTTTTGAAAACGCAATTCCTTTGGAAAAAACAAGCAGGAAACGTCGAAATATCTTGAGTTTCAATACATCTGTTCTACATCTATTTGAAAAAAAAATAGCTAGATACAAGACTTTATAAAGATCAGTAAATGTATTTTTACAGTTGAATTAGTCACAACAAAACATAGATTAACGTTACAAGCAAATAGAAAGGCTTTCTAAGAAGAACATGTTGCGCTGTTAGCAGGAGACCATCAGTGTTGACCGGGGAGTGTCTACAAGAAGATTCAAAAGGCAACGTGCTCACGTGATCCAGATTTAAAGAAACAAAATAAAAGGTTATAAACTAAAAGTTTCATAATTTATTTTTTATGTTAAATATTTTTTTTAAAAATTGCTTTTGATATCTTTTGACAGGAAATAATCTGTTAGACTCCTTTTGTAATCAGTAACGTTTTAATGCTTAGAAGTTTGAAAATTCATTTTGGGTATAAGCGAGAATGGAATGCCTTAAACGCTATTTTGTTACAAATCGATAGCTTTCCTCATTTCAAGTTTACTTGGGGAATTTCCGGTAAGCCTTTATTTAAAGCACTTTTTGGCACTGTGTCTCAGCGGTGAACTCAATTTTGACTCCCAGCAAAAAATTAATTTATAGAATTAAAAAATCTGAAATTTTCCGAAAATGCCAACCACCACTAAAAAACAAAAAAGTTCCCAACGAGGCGGACCGAACCGATCTTTTCCAATTTTCTGCGATAAGAGCAGCAAAAACGCGAATGACCGACAACCTCTTTCCTGGAGCAACATCCCCGCAGTTTTACTGAGGGAAATATATCTAACTTTGACCGATGTGGACAGGGCTTCGATGGCAAGGGTAATGATACTTTCATTTAAATATAAAAATTGGCTAGCAGGTTTTTTTTTTTCTATTGGTCAGGCATGGGATATTAGTTAATAACGATTTTTAAAAAAAATTCAACAAAAGATGATGTGGATAGCTGTTTGGGTAAAATTTAGGCAATTAGATTAGTTGATGAACAAATGGATTCATGCATGTTAGATGAATGAATAGATGGATGGACGTTTAGTTTGATTGACTTGTTAATGGATAAATGGATGCATCAGATGTTTGATGTGAGTTAAATGAAAAAAAATTGAAGGGTGGTAGGCTCTGGAGAGTACGGATAAATCAGTGTTTGGTTTTGTATCGATAATGGATAGACTCAGTAAAATTATTTTTGTTTCCGTTTAGCATTCCCTACATATAAAATGATATTAGTCACAGATATAAATTAGAATATATGGGAGATAAGTGATATGTTGGGATATTACTTATGTAATATACAGAGTATGGGGACTTGGTGAAAAAAAAAAGCCAATCAGAGAAGGAGAGCAAGAGCAAGAAAGATGGACAAGATGGAAGTGGAATAAAATGGTTTTTTTAATTCACGAGCTTGTATAAGAAGATAGAACGGTTTAAAATGTGTTGATACATTATGAAGTTTAAGAAGCGAACGAGATGATCCACAGATGCTAGTAATTTTATTATTTAGATTAATATAATATTAGCTCCAGGTATGTTCGGATTTTCTTAAGGAATATTTTGTATTGTGATTGCGTTTAATAAATAAGTCACTATTATTTAACTACTTCGCACTGTTGTGATTGATAACAAGATTGTGATTGTTACACTATTTATTTTAATGACTTATTGAATTGACAAGTTATTGTTAATGATATTAAATCCTCTAATGGCTTAAGCTTTTGAAACAATAACAATACACAAGCATTTATGTTGCTTGAAAATTATTAACATTATTCTTACTGAGGGGAATGATTTGACCTTGATGTTAGAACGATTACACTATATCGTCCTACTAACTATAAACTAGACTGTAATTTTTTAAAAGCTATTTTCAACTCTTTTCTGTACAATGAATTCTTTTTTTAATATTTTTTTTATTAGTTAAATCTTTTAAAGTTAAGCATTTGTTCTATTAATGATGTTTTAAAGAAAAATAAACAAAACAATTGTTCTCAGAGAATATTAAATTTACTTTTAAAAAAACTACAAACTTACTATAATTTTACCCTTTTTTTCCTTGACAAGGTTTGCAAGGCCTGGCGCGAAGGCTTTCACGACCCTTGTCTCTGGAGCAACAAGACTATGCTGTTTTGCCACCGCAAAGACGAAAAAGATTTAAAGGCCACCAAAGAATTTTACTACACATCTGGTACAGTAACTTCGCTACTCATTAGGGGTACAACTAAAGTACAAATACAACTAAAATATATACTATTATGAAAAAGAACATAAAAAAGAAACTTATTAGTATAACTGCAATGGAGGTAAAGCTCACATTTTCGTACACTTGTAGGCAGTCACTTTGTCCATTGAACGTGATGCCTGGTTTCTAAACGGAGACTTAGTATATAGTAAGAGGGGGAAATTGAAATCATCTTATTTCGTGTGGTAGATCAGACAGCCACATGTGGACGACATGTCATTTGGTGTAAGAAATCAGACAGTCACATGCGGACATTACTTTGTACAGCCTTTTTATGCAGTCATCGAGAAAGTAGTTATTATCTTATAACAATGGTGCACGCCAAGTTATTCCTAGTTGGTTTAAAATGTAAAATAATCATGATTGTTTAAAGATAGCTTCACTAATAACAAGTATAGGAATGAAGAATGGACAGTATTAAGGCGTTCTTTGTTGCGCCCAGTCAGGGTAGACAATTAAAAATCACCTGGTGCTTTTCTTTTCTTCACTTCCAAATGCTTTACAATCTACCTTGAATGTTAGTCTCAAGAGTGTTTACACATTTTCAAAAAAATTTGTTTCTAACTAGGAAGGAATGGAATAAAACTTGTCAAGCAGTTCCCAAGATATCTAAAAAAAGTGACGATATTGTTCATGCCCGATCTTTGGCGCAGGCCTAAGGATATCATCAATGACTTGCAAAATTTTGCTGAACTTTTGGATGACGCAAATATCAAAGAAATTAATTTAATTAATCTCAAACTTCAGATGCTGAAAGGGCAGATGCGTTCAAATTTACTAAACGCCTTGAAAAGATTCGTCGAAAAACAGGAATGTCTGATGGTAAAATTGATCTTACATATTTAGCTCTAAGCTGTTGATAAGTCCAAGATACTTGAAGCTTTTGGTTAAACATTTGTTTCAATCAGAGTCGACCAATATTTTTCAATTCGACTCGTATTTTTCTTTTTTTTTTTCTGAGCGATCTGAAAGCTCCATGAACCCTAGCTGAAAAAACAAATGATTTAAGGTATATTGGTATATATATATATATATATATATATATATATATATATATATATATATATATATATANTATATATATATATATATATATATATGTATGTATATAGATAGATAAATAGATATGTATATATTATATTATGTATACATAACGCTGATTTATTAATTAGACACAAACATTTGTGTAAAAAAACAATATAACTTCACCTTTAATAATGCTATAATACAGCGTAGATGGTTAACGTTTCGGCAATCGCTTTGATCAGTATTTGAAAAAAACCGCTCATATAATTAAAAAATAAATTTACTTGATATACATATGCCTGTATCTACGTAAACGTTAGAGCAAGGAATAAAAGTGAGCACAAGTCCCTGATTACAACAAAGTTTAGAAGAATTTAAAGGAAGTGAGTTGGAGTAAAGTTTCAAAACCGACAGTAAAAATGCATTGCAGCTATGTAAAATAGAGAACTTTTTTTTATATCGTATGAAGTCATCGTACCAGATATTGTCGTTTATTTATTTTCCATATAAAATCTATCCATTGTTTTATTTCAAACATTATATCAGTAAATGCCATTCTAAAATTTAAGTATTGATAGCACTTTTGACTTGCATTGAAAGTTGACAAAGGGCTTCTTTATTTATGTTATGCGGGTGTGCTCTAAAACGGTATCTCCTACATTTACCGCACTTTTTACAAAGGATTGTGCATACCACGTTGTGACTTGTACAGGTAAAGCCATCTTTTATTCTGAATATTTCCTGAGGGAAAGTGATCTCCTCACCTTCAATCAAGCCGTGCGACACTGTGTTACAGCGACTCAGGTCGCAAAGTGGGGTGGCCATAACTGCTTTATTCGCCGGGAGAGGACTCCTAACAAGCGTGCTCCTAATTCGAGTGAAAGCTGCTTTTTAAAATTGGTTCAGGTTATAATCGTTGACGTTTTTGTTACAAGTATTTCGCTCCAGATGCATCGTTGCCCTCAACCCATTTTGACATGTTCCTTTACATACTTATAATTTGCTCTTCTTTATATTTTGAAGATGTTCTTAATGATCAAAACATACTTTGACCTCGAGAGCGGTCTGCAATTCCTGAAAAGCCTGGCCACTTCCTCTGGAGCTTCTATTGAAGCTATGACTTTGAGGGGGTTTTGCCTTCAAGACATTCCCATCTACCAGGAGCGACGGTTCGTCACAGAAATGCAGGTTATTGTCACATCACTTCAATATTAAAATTCGAGTTTGCTGTTTGTCTATCATTGACCGATTACAGGTAGACGAAGACACCTTTTGGGATATCTTTAAAAAAAAAAATATAGAAAAAACCTTCTTCCTGATTTTATTACATTTGAAATAATAATTCCGAATTATCTCAATTATAATTGAGTCATTGTAAATTCGTTAGGAATCGCATTGATTTTTGAATTTGAGTTTGATTACCTTGTGAAACTGTTGCGTAATTTCAGCAAGGCGTTTAAGTCAACATATTTTTATTCTTCTTTTTTAATTTACTCAAAATTTTGTCTCCATGGACTCGGAATAAACCTTTTTGTTTTTTTTGTTACGGCTATTCCAGAAATTTACCAATCTGTATTACATTTCCATCGACTACATCATCCTGTCGGGGGAGTTGATGCAATTCTGGTGTGAAGCCTGTCCCCTACTGTCAGCCATTGGTATCTATTCTAAAGGATTTCTGCCAAAAAGTTCGTTCAATATTTTTTTTTTTCAATTTTACTTCGGATTCTTTGATTTATACAACAACGTGAACCATGCATGCCTGGATGAGAACTCCGTTTAAAATGTGAATCATATGTGCCTGGATGAGAACTCCGTTTAAAATGTGAATCATATGTGCCTGGATGAGAACTCCGTTTAAAATGTGAATCGTATGTGCCTGGATGAGAACTGCGTTTAAAACGTGAATCGTATGTGCCTGGAAGAGAACTGCGTTTAAAACGTGAATCGTATGTGCCTGGATGAGAACTGCGTTTAAAATGTGAATCGTATGTGCGTGGAAGAGAACTGCGTTTAAAATGTGAATCGTATGTGCGTGGATGAGAACTGCGTTTAAAATGTGAATCGTATGTGCGTGGAAGAGAACTGCGTTTAAAATGTGAATCGTATGTGCGTGGAAGAGAACTGCGTTTAAAATGTGAATCGTATGTGCGTGGAAGAGAACTCCGTTTAAAATGTGAATCGTATGTGCGTGGAAGAGAACTCCGTTTAAAATGTGAATCGTATGTGCGTGGAAGAGAACTCCGTTTAAAATGTGAATCGTATGTGCGTGGAAGAGAACTCCGTTTAAAATGTGAATCGTATGTGCGTGGAAGAGAACTCCGTTTAAAATGTGAATCGTATGTGCGTGGAAGAGAACTCCGTTTAAAATGTGAATCGTATGTGCGTGGAAGAGAACTCCGTTTAAAATGTGAATCGTATGTGCGTGGAAGAGAACTCCGTTTAAAATGTGAATCGTATGTGCGTGGAAGAGAACTCCGTTTAAAATGTGAATCGTATGTGCGTGGAAGAGAACTCCGTTTAAAATGTGAATCGTATGTGCGTGGAAGAGAACTCCGTTTAAAATGTGAATCGTATGTGCGTGGAAGAGAACTCCGTTTAAAATGTGAATCGTATGTGCGTGGAAGAGAACTCCGTTTAAAATGTGAATCGTATGTGCGTGGAAGAGAACTCCGTTTAAAATGTGAATCGTATGTGCGTGGAAGAGAACTCCGTTTAAAATGTGAATCGTATGTGCGTGGAAGAGAACTGCGTTTAAAATGTGAATCGTATGTGCGTGGAAGAGAACTGCGTTTAAAATGTGAATCGTATGTGCGTGGAAGAGAACTCCGTTTAAAATGTGAATCGTATGTGCGTGGAAGAGAACTGCGTTTAAAATGTGAATCGTATGTGCCTGGAAGAGAACTCCGTTTAAAATGTGAATCGTATGTGCGTGGAAGAGAACTCCGTTTAAAATGTGAATCGTATGTGCCTGGAAGAGAACTCCGTTTAAAATGTGAATCGTATGTGCCTGGAAGAGAACTGCGTTTAAAATGTGAATCGTATGTGCGTGGAAGAGAACTACGTTTAAAATGTGAATCGTATGTGCGTGGAAGAGAACTGCGTTTAAAATGTGAATCGTATGTGCGTGGAAGAGAACTGCGTTTTCAATTTTGCAAAAACTAATTAACATTATTTACTCACACGGACCCGTCAGAACGATTTAGTACTTAGATAATGCCAATGAAATGCTCGATTACGTGGTTTTGTTCCTCTCAGTGCGGGCAATGAAATACTCGATTACGTGGTTTTGCTCCTCTCAGTGCGGGCCTTGTAATTTTTGTGTGCTTTAGAAGAGATTTTTTATTTTTTTAAAGGCCCCCGTTTATCCTCCATTTTGATCAGTTATATTCTCTTCCATGACTTCTCTGAGAAACTAAATGTATTTTCATGCGGTCGCATGTGTTTGAAAGGCAGGAAACAAACCAAACGAGTATATTTCATGATGAGTTTGGTATTAGAAAAGTTTCTAACAGCTATCGTAACTGTGCCCCTAAAAAAGGAACTCTATTCCTTCACACACACAACATGTGCCGACCATCACAGCCTTCAAAACTGCTATAAAAAAAAAACATCTTTTTAAACTCTACTATCCTGACTGATTCCCAGCTCTGACCGAAAAAAAATTCTGTGGGGTGTCGTCCATGGCTTTACATGAAAATAGTTTTAAATATGCATTTCTTTTTTTATAAATTTAATTAATGTATGTTAATACAATTTTTTTAAGGTTTTGATAATGTTTGTTAAATTATAATTAATAATAATAATAAAGTTCATTTCAAAAACACGCTTCATCCCCAAAGGGTCGAAGCGCGGTACAACGTCAACAAAAAACAAATCTATAATTTACCACATTTAAAACAAACGCAACACTACAAAAACTAATTACAAGCATACAATGGCAAAGTCTTTCTAGCCATTTCAACCCTGAGCAACACAGCCATTATGCATTAACTGGAAAATAAGGTAGACAATCATCCCAGAAGGTATTTGCGAAATAGATGTGTCTTTAGATCGGTTTTAAAGGACTCCAGTGTCTGGTTGTTTCTAAGATCGACAGGAAGGGCGTTCCAAATTGTTGGACCAGCAAATGCGAAAGTGCGCTTTCCGTAAGTCTCAAGGCAAACATGTGGTGTCGAGAGTTTGCCACTATCGGATGAGCGGAGCTCTCTAGTGGGTACATAAGGCGTCAGCAGCTCTTTCAGATAGGACGGCGCCAGGTCATGTACGTGCAGCGTGGTAAGCCGAGCCCTATGCTGGGGTATCGCGCTATATAAAACCATTTACAATATTAATAATACTAATAAATACCACATACACATTTGGGAAATGAGCATCCAAGCCAATTCTACTCAGTAAAAAGAGCATCAACGCCCTTTCTACAAAGAAAGTAAAAATAGCTTCCAAGACCATTCTACATAGAAGAGCAAAAAGATCATCCGAGCCCATTCTACATAGCAAGTAAAAAGATCATCCGAGCCCATTCTACATAGCAAGTAAAAAGATCATCCGAGCCCATTCTACATAGCAAGTAAAAAGATCATCCGAGCCCATTCTACATAGCAAGTAAAAAGAGCATCCAAGGCCATTCTACATAGAAAGTAAAAAGAGCATCCAAGGCCATTCTACATAAAAAGTAAAAAGAGCATCCAAGGCCATTCTACATAAAAAGTAAAAAGAGCATCCAAGGCCATTCTACATAAAAAGTAAAAAGAGCATC